ATAATATTATTATGTTTACATTGGCATTTTAACCGCCGAAGATTAGTGCCCAAAAAAATGTAATACAAACACGTAAAAAAAGATAATGGGCTATTATCATTATTATGTAATTTTTTTAATTATCCTTTTACCTGAAGATGTTTCAACACAAATTGTGTTGTTTAAATCTGCATTATGTACATATGATTCATTTTTACATGAATGATTTTTCTTTCTGATAATATAGGCTACGCAAATGTAAAACCTCCCAAAATTTTAAAAGCAAAATTAAAGCTGCTATTCTTAAAATTGTTTGTGTTAATTTAATGGGTCCTTATTATTATTTGTTTGTATAGAATTTTGATTACTAATTGTATCACTATATTTTTGTAATTAATTTTTTCCTTAATTTTGTTATAAATTTTAGGAATGTAACAAGGTTTAATATGTACTTTTTATGTCAAGCTTGATTTTTTTTTTAAATTCATTGTTGTAGTTTTATATAAGAGAGCCTCTTAATAACAACTCACAAGTAATGGTGAACAATTTAAATTAAAAAAATAGTAAATAAAATCAGAAATATAATTTGAACGGAAAACTGACATTTTTTAAATAATTTAAATTATAATAAAAATTATAGAAAAAAAATTATTATTGATAAAAATATTTATGTTAGTGTTATGCTTACAGGCTTGGTGGATGGGTGTGCAGTACAAATAGTGGATATTAAAAATAACAAGCTTGTGCTGTACGAAGAGAAACTAGCAGGTATCTTGATGCAAGCCCAGTTGAAAGATATTCCAGTGATGGTCGTGTCAGTTGCTGGTTTGTTTCGAGCAGGAAAGTCATTTTTACTTAACTTGCTGGTCAAGTACTTCTCTCACGGTGTAAGTACAAAGGCGATATGGGCTCACCTGCTTTATGATAAGATAACTCGAAAAATATCTTGCAATCTGTATAATCTGTAAGATTTAAGCGCATATATTTAAGTGCGAAATATTTTTTTATTTAATTTTTTTTCCAGGCTAGGGAATACACTCGCATTACTGTCACCTAAAAATGTTTGAATATGTAGTTTTCAATTATTGGTGTCCATAATAATTACAGCGATCATGTAAAGCTTTTTTCTCATTGTGACGAAGTATACATTAATATAGTTTGATTTCATTTTCTGAAACAATTTAAATCAAAAGTTTGCGTTATATTATGTATAATTCTGATACAAGTTCACTATGTTGTTAATGTAATTCCACAGTGCTCACCAAACTGGATGGATGACCAGGAAAGCACACTAAATGGATTTCTTTGGAAATCTGGTGCTGAAAGAGTTACCACTGGCATATGGATGTGGAGTAAAGTGTTCATTACAGGGCCGGATGATAGAAAAGTAAGAGGGCATCAAATGAAATTATGAGTTACAATAATATCACATGCTTCATGTGATATAGATATTAATTATAGCATTACCGCAAGACCGTTTTGTTTTTATTCGAAAGTGACGCTTATATATTTATTTATTTATTGGTGTAAAATGGATACGTATATAAAGTAAATAAAGTAAACGCCCTAATAATAACGTAGAA